GTTGCGGAAGCCACTTTTAGTATTGGCAAAAAATCGTGAGTTTGTTGGTAAACACCAATGTTCCATTGTAGCTTGCGGAATATGCCAGGAAGAGCATGACGCTGATCAAATAGCCACATGTGGAACCTACGTCGATCATAGCAGACAGTCGAAAAACCCCAGTTGACGCACACGACCAGAGGTCCACGATGACTTATCGACTGACCATATGGAACCTACCACCTATCCCACAATTTCCTTGGATAAGTCCGACAGTTGAAGCACAGGGGCAACTTGCTAGCTTTCTGTGGACTCACACAACCGGAATCCCAGTACTCATGCCGCCCGTCAAGCTTGTATCTACAAGCGGAATCTTAATGCTTTAAAAATTTTACGCCAAGCGGTTTATCACCTGCGTTCCACATCTGAATAGTGTTAAAACAACATTGCCTTCTGCCAATGGGAGGGACGCTACCTTCCTCTTACTACCACACGATCACTGACCCGGCCTCCCGAAGTTTTGCCAGGGCCGAAGGCACATCGTCTGTCACGATTAAACCCAGATGTGCGGCACCTACTCAGGAGAAGCGGTCGACAACTCCGGTGGTATTTGCGTATATCCTGAATGGAAAGGATCTTGCAGAATTCACCCGCCACAAACTGCCACTCCTCACATCATGGCGTTCCATGTTTCAAGAGGGCCCTGCAGGTGCCTAATTCATCTTCGGTTAGCCGTCGATTAACCGGAAGCCGATCGTACAAAAGTTTGGCGACTTGTGTCTGTGACTACGAAAATAAGTGGTAACTACCAGGTGATTCCTTTGCCTACGTAGACAAAACCGCACTAGATAGCAAGTGCTTCGCGTACTGATTTTTTATTAGCATATACGCTCAGCTTACTAGCTTCTCCCGGGTCCCCTACTCTTCGTTGGTCATGGAAATCATCTGCTGCATTTATAGCACACCCATTCATAGCGCCAAACGGCGCTGATGCTTCAATACTGGATTAACGCACAAATATCATATAGTTACTATTTATATGTTGATTAAACGCCTTCTACAATAACCTGAATAATAAAATGGATACGGCCCCAAATCTCTCAACACACGCATGCGAAGCCACTTCCAAAGCTATTGCACAGCCAGTTCAAAGTCAAATGAGCGCGAAAAATTAAGGGGGAGGAAAACTAAAACAAATTCCAAAATTCGTGGCAGATTGGGGCCATTATTAGTCCGAGCACGTACGCAACAAAACGCGATATTTCGGGTTAAAAAGTTCTATTTCGCCTGCAAATGTTTCTCAGAAAAACGCATTGTGCTTCCAAGGCGTGGCATATGTACGCTGACCCAGCGAAGCTATGGCTTAAAAGGTGTATACAGCACAGCCGCCAGCTGAAGTGCTGATTCTTATGATTCAGGGACCTCATGTGTCTACAAGCGTCTATTCTTGGATGAAGCCACAGCGAGTGAACGGGCACTTGGCGTCAAATCTCCTCATTTGAAGAATTATAACCTAACTTCATTCTACTCCTGCTTCCCACACTCACCCTGTAGCCCATTGGAAACAACGGTTCTGCCGTCCTCATCATAACTTGTAACAATTTCATACCCATCCGCATTAGTACTGTCTTCGACTAGGCGGGACGTTCTTAGACAACGCACATCTGTCCCGTTGTTTCCGCTCATCATCCGGTGACATCTAAAAAGCTTTCTACTCTCAGACACGGCTAATATTTTGAGGGCTGCCCGCTCTATCAGGCCCTGCATACGATCTGTCTCCGATTATGATTCTATGACTAGGAACTGCAAGTCTTATCTCATCACACTGCTCCACGAAAAAATATTTTCTAACCCATATACAAGCGACGTACCTTGCCACATTCCTGCGAATCCAGTCGTTGTGCTTTAAGCTACCTATGGATTCTGACCAATTATCGTCTATCCCATCAGTACGTCTTGCCTGGCCATCCGGAGCGGTCCTTCCAGGTAGGTCTCGCTGGCTGCTACCCAGCCCTGAACATCCACAATCCCCTCCTGTACCACATCTACACGTTTCTCTCCTACTATTTCCAACTATGCGTACGACTACGTGGTCAACATCCATCCTTTCAACTATCTGCCCTCCTCCCAAAACACCCTGATCATCCTTTTCCATCTGCAATGAAAGGGACGGAAAATAGAGGGTAATAAGCTTTTGTCGTCCACTTCCGACTTCGGATCAAGCTCGGGGAGGTTGTGGCATAAGATAATAATTAATATTTTCGTTCAGCCGTGATGCCTTTTTGGTTCACAGCAGAGTGAAAAATTAGCACTAACGTGTTAGTTAAAAGACTTACCAAATTCGCATGGTGTGACGCCTCTGGAGTGCATCGTTTTGCAAAGCCTCAAAGCATTTTCCTAGACTGTAGTGCGCCATGCATGGGTCACCTCGTCCCACGAACATGCGACCCAGCGGTAGACCTCGCATTTTTGTCCGTCTCCCGTCCCTGCACACTCTGAACTACTAATTCGTCAAAACTTACCCAACCTTCAGAGTTGGTAAGCACCCTTTCCAGCGTGCTAGGGGATATCAGAAAGCCATCCACTTCATCAGCCGATAACCCACTGGTCGATTCAGCCAATTACTAGCAATCTAACTTTCAGTCAGCTCCATCGCACACTTCCCGCGTGAGCGCTTCCGGAAGGCGAGTAGCACAAACAGCATCCAAAGTTTTGTACCCCCTTTCATATCCTTATGCCAAGTCAGGATCTGGCTACTGACTTCCTTATGCCACTCTGAAATGGGCACGAAAAACAGCACTGGCAATCTATCTTCCAGTAAGCTCCACTGCACACTTCCTGCGTGAGCGCTTCCGTAAGGCGAGTAGCACAAAAAAATCCCTTTCATATCCTTATGACTTCCTTATGTCACTCTGAAATGGGCACGAAAAACAGCACTCAGTGCTACTCGTCATTCCCAAATGACGGCACCCGTTCCCAACGACCGCACCGCACTATTCCAAAATACTACATTCTGAATATTGATCATCGTTTTTTAAATACAATAAATTCGCCTCACTACACTAGTTACAAAATGAATCGCTTTTAGCTACCTTTTTTTCAGGCTGCAGCGTAGCTCGAACCATAATGCACTCCAGAAGAAACTTTTGACACGTACGAATCTGTCAACGGACCCAAGTCAGACGTAACGTTGACTACCTTCCTTGCTTGTGCTCAGTTCACTTTGTCCCGATTTCCATGGATTGCATAACATTCACAACAACCCCAAATGACACCCAAGGTATTCACATACGAATATGTCCACAGACCCAAGTCAGACGTAACGTTGACTACCGCGACTGCCATGCCCAGTCTGTCTTGCTCGTAGCTGGCCTGGTCTTTAATATTTCTGACCGAGCATGCTACGTGAGCCCACAATAACCTCTTAATCCACCGAACTTGTGGCACAGCTCCAAAGCACTGTCCGACATATAGTAGCGACTGCTAGTGCTGCCCGCACAACAACTGACTCTTCAAACGGCTCTATCGGGGGTTCAGTATAATGGTAACAATAAAATCTTGCAGTCCCCTATACAGGTTGTGTTATAGTAGAATATCGGCCAAACTTATCGGCTGCGTCAAATTCCCTGGATTCGCCCAGAGGAATGCCCTCTGCAACGATAAGAAACATTCCTACACGGGTCGCGAAAGGATGCTGTATTTTGAGATTGTCCGAACAAAGACGACGTAATTATTTTTCATATACACTTTCCAAATATTTTTAAATTCGATACAAGGGGAAAAAGATATGGACAAATCAACTTTTCCATGAATTCTCCCCCCGTCCACTTGGATTTATCATGCCAAACCACGGCAGCCATTAGAATTGTGAATTCCATGCACAGTATTCCGTGAGTATATTTAAGAGAATTTCGGGAAGCTGGAAATTACCGAAAGCATTTTGGGTACTCAATAGATACCACTAAATGTGGAAAACCTTACGCATTGCTTCCTTTAATTCAAATTACGGTTTCAGAGAATTTTGGTATGTGCTTCCCGGGATCGGCCGCATAAACATGCAGGAGAGATGGACAAAAACTCCGCGAAATTCCCAAACTCTAAACCCGGTAGTTTCGGCGAAATCGATTTTGCTTCGCTTCTAGTGGTGGGAAAACTTTCAAACGACACCTAACAACCTGAGAAGGCACCTGAGATAGACAAGCTTTGTGCACAGGAATAATACTGTGAATGAAACAGGATGAAAGTGGCATAACCTGTCATTTGAGGAAGGAAACATTAGTCTCCGGGAATTACATCAGCATGGAAAAAAGCAAGCACTTCCTGGACCAGCAAAATATGAAGTCCGGAAAGGAATAAATGGCTGATGCCACCTTGATTTGTAGTACCAAAAAATCTGGTGTAAAAGAGTCCCCACTGATGTTAAGGTATAAAAAGTATAAAAAGTGCTACCGCACGTGCCATTGTGGGCAAAAAATAAACTGTTCGCGTTATTAGAAACATGAAGGAACTCGTTGTCGGGCATCCAGGGAAACTTTTCACTTCTCGAACCCGTAAAATTGACGAACCGAACAGATGAACTGTGAATACTTTCAATGTGTCATTTAGTTCACAGATTCTCTTGTCTGTCGTCATAGCAATTCTATAGTAGCGTTTTTGAATTGACAGCAAATGGAAAGGCCAGTCTGGGTGTAAAAAGATTATTAGAAATGGAAGGGAAATATGCAGAATCAAAACTTCCTGGGTACTATTCAGAGAGGTTTACTGGGGACACATCTGCATCGAACAGCGTATTTTTGTGTCCGTATGATGACTTTGAGTATACCTATTTTAGGATTTGTGCAAACCTCCATACGCGGAGCAGTCATTTGATTCATTACTGCGAAGAGAGGAGTATACACCAAATGGTAATGTTATTTTCTAAAAACTTGTAACTTGAGTGCAGTTGACGTTGAGCTTCCGGCCTACATAGCGGATCATATTGCGGCCCATGGACCAACAAGCGAGGTCAATTTCCTAATTGTATGTGTCTGAGTTTTCTTATTTTCAATCCTCAGGATTTTCCACGCCACTCTTTTGATCCGAAGGTTCAGGTACCATTCTATACTCCCCCTACTGAGTGCCCTCGCAAGCTACAGATTGAGAGGTGATTCTCTTAATGCTTACTTGACTGTGTTTCCCGCAGACGGAAACGGAGGTATCAGAGTCTCTCACTACAGAGAATTCTGGAAAATGAGTACCATATACGAACGGAAGATTTGATAGCTAGGTTCTTGGATGGCACACAGGATGCCAATGGTGAATGGACGACATACTTACCTTTGGAGAATTTCGATGATGAAACTTACGACTGTAGAACTCCAGAAGATTGGTTGGAAATGGGTATTGAAGACGGAGTTCGCAAGCCCGTGCCAGCACTCTGTCTCTTGCCAGAGAGAGATGACCAACAACATCGTAAGTACATTCTGTTTCCTGTTTATCGCCACGACTACCAACATTATTACTGTAAAGTTGTATGTAGTATTGAAACATTGATCATTGGCAGGTAATGGAGATTGTTCGGCTTTCGGGTGTGCATCACTATCCACAAGGTAACCGGAAAGCCATATAAAGTAGCTAATTTGCAAAGCCCAGCACCAGATAAGGAGAAGGTTTTCAATGTGTTTTGTGGGGGGAAATGTAGTTTTGTGAATATTCGTGACAGCGGGTCATTTTGTTTTCGTCCATCGAAATTCGAAGGTTTGCCTTGGGGTAGAAAATACGCTTTATCAGGGTGTTACCTCCATCATCATATATAAAAACCCGCGTGCTTGCTGTACGATGGTCACGGCTGTCACATTTCTGTCTGTCAGTGATTTGGGGAGGAGGTGTGGATGGCCACGCATTGCAGGTGGTAACTGATATAATTGATGCATAAATACAGTGGTGTTTGTGAACTTTTCGTTTGGGTGATATGGAGAGGTTTATGCGTTTAACTCAACAGCTCAAATTTTAGAGCATCATTAAGAGCGTGACAATGCTGCCTGACAATGTTTCTAACTAATGTTATGCCCCATTTTGCTGTCCTTATTCATTCAAGTTCTACTTTTGACAAAATAAAATGCAGTCTACCGGACAAAATCACTTCACGATGCGAATATATTTGAAGCAGTCATCTCATCCTATGGTTAAAAATTGCAGCCTGCGCACCAGACATGTTACTGGCTAATGGATCCTTCCAACCGCAGATTGTTTACTGGTGAACCAAGGAAATCCATCAAATCTCAAATATGAACGATATTCTGTAGCCCTTGGTGCTTTATGACTTAATTGTAATGGGTTTTCTTCGTAGTGGATACTTTAAATATTATATTATAAAAGAAAAATGTTATTGGTTTACTTTGGTGACGGCGTTTCGTGAGTCACGTGTGAATGAAGTACTACGAGAGAAAGTTTACCAGGAAATCTCACCTGTTCATATCAGAAAATAATCTGACTCATCATGACAAGCGCAATTTTTGTGGATTATTGACTCACATAACAGAATTCATTGCTTGTTGTGTTGTGGGAAGAATAGGCCCTCTACCACTCAGGTAGGTCGTGTTTGCATTCTGTGGCGGTTGTGGTTTGGGTCCGTATGATTTTGTATTGACCGGGAACTTTGCTGAGCGAGCTCCGGGAGGCCTGACCACATCATCATAGTCTCTGTAGTTTATTTACCTGCAATGTACACTTGATTTTGGTGACTGTTTAACTTGTCTGAAGCTGTTGTGCTTAAATCTATTTTATACGATGTCTGCACCTGTATTTTCCTTAGTACTCTTGACTGTCAGGAGTATTGCATCTTTATTATGTTGGAGTTGGCAGCCTATTGCACTCAATATCCGTCTTTATTGTGTTAAATAATTATTGGTATTTCCGATATACGAAAATACATTCAGAAAGCCCGGGTTTCTTAGAGCCCTTGTAAATAACAACTCGAAAAGTTTCCCTTTGATCTCAGAAAGCTAAATGTTTTCTCATGTTAACTGAGAATTCATGATGCTGTTGATAGCCAGTTGGCCAGCATGACGTTCCAGTTTCTAGACAATACCCGGGAGGTTTGTAACATTTAAAGATATATTGATGCTTTGCAACAGACGTTGTGACATCCAAGGGTTTGTACGAGTAAGATGACTATATTACTGCATTTTCATGATAATTTGATAAAATAAACAGGTACCTTTGTAAGATTTTTGGTACGGCTGTAGTAAGACCATGGTACGGTTGACTGAATGTCTTTGGGTTACAGCCACTCGTCGCGTAGGGACCGGTAATGAAAAACTTTATTCGCCTGCCGTTTTGATTGAGCTACGTTTCCAAAATAACAACCCATTGCTGTATGACCTCGGTTAATCCAGTCAGTTTATCCAAGAGGATGCAAATGCTTGGGCGTTCACTGGCATGGGGTGTCACATTATCGTATTTTGGAGGATTACAGGAAAGCTTTTTCTGGCTAGACTAGGTGGTTTACTTGGTTGTTCAGAACGAATGCGGATCTTTTTCACTCTTTTGTCCGTTAACTAGTCTAGACATATATGAACTGGTCGCCTTCAAAGATATGTGTCTTTGGTAATGACCCTAATTTTCGTTGGCAAAGTTGCTTTTCGAGATCCCCGGCTTAATGGAGTCTATTACGCATATACTGGTGTAAAACGGTGTCTGTAACAAATTATCAGCTTTGTTTGCTTTCGAAGGATTACTCTAAACAAAGTGTGAAAATGTCACATTTTCATAAAATTTAAAGCAGTATTCTCACGCACTGGTGTAATAAGAAACATCAAAATAATTTAGACCATACTTCAATACCGTCGGTCTTAATTACGCAGTACGCTCACTGCGTGTCGTTAGTATTTACGACGTTCTCCGTAGGCCCATGGTACATTAACCTTCATTTGTGATCTGGATTTCTTTTGGTTCCGAACTTATACTGTTTACACTGTTCTGACGCTGACTCATTAGGTGCGGAGTGCATTTGGCTAATGTTGCGATTGCAGTAGCTGCCTTATGTGTTTTAAAAAGTGCCCTCTCCAAGTCTATCTGGTAGGCTACATCTACAATAGATGTTTTCTACTCTCTACTAAGGCTTGTACAGCAATTATTCTTTAATTTGATTTGGCAATCAGCTATATGTACACGGGGTGCCTTTTAATTACCAAATTTTATATTTTTTTCCTGTGGCCACCTGATTGCACATAGCATGTAAAAGAATTACGATGCATTGCCTTATCGATAATCTGACTGTACGACAGATAGTAGAACGTCTTCCAGCCCACAAACTCCTACAAGTTATCTAACTGTTGTTTGGAAAATGACATATTTGGCATTTTCAGATACTTTTCTTCCTTTTTTATTATTGAAATACTTGCTTAAACTAGTTTTGTGTCAAAAGCTTTTGACGGAAGAACTCCGACTTTCGGTTAAATAAGTCTCTACCTGAATGATGCGATCATCAAATGGCACTGTGAACTGTTTTACTTTTTCTTTTGGGTGATTTGTCAGATCATTTCTCACTTTTGTTAAGTTGAAAAGAGACAAGTGGTTTTATGAGTGTTTGTTTTTTAACACGCACCTAATTCCGTTACTTAGAGGCACGCAGTCGGCTTAGTCATAAGGTAGGCTTAGTGCAAAAGGCTTTAAACATATTACAGGCAAATTTCGTTGGAAAAGAACTTGTCTAACGATGTTTTTATCACAGACACCCAAGAAGCATAGCCAGCTAGTTTATCAGTTAGTTTGTTGAGTCACTTATCAAACAATAGAGAAAAACGCATATTAATTATGGATTGTTTTGATTTTATCTTTAAGGAAACCGTCACAAAGGTTAAGCACATCACCTAATCAAAACTCTATGAATGGTGTCTATCGACAGTTGAGTTGTTATACAGGTCAAGGCCAGATTGAAACCTCTTGTGACTTTGGCTCATCCCTCAATCGAATAAAAAGCGCTTGAAGCCTATCCGGTAGTCTTCTCTATGAAATCATCTGGAAGGCAACTGGTAGAATGCTGAAAAAATTTCACCTTATTAACAAAAGCCTTGTCTAGCCAAGCGGCTAGCTTGCATGACCGGTGAAGTTTTATGGCAGGAGAACAAATCGGCAAACTTCCTTACCTATAAGCCAAATTAATGTTTGACGTCAGAAAAAAAAATTTTAATGTGAGATAGCAGATACTATTATCTGTAGGATAGAAGAAAATCCACATGAATTTCGGCCAGGTCTTGGGTTTTTCTTTCAGCTAATTTTATTTGAGGACTTCTCTTTATTGTCGTCCGCACTTCTTTTTAACCTAAGTAAGTGGGTGAGCCTCCCGACAAATAGATAACCGAGAAGAATTGCCTGAATTTGGGTATGACTGATGATGATGATGATGATGATGATGATGATGATAATTTTACTTGACTGATGGCCGCACATCATCATTCCGTTTGGTCAAAGGCGTATTTCATACGATGACCAACTTCATGTTTTCTGTTAACACTAAGATGCTTAGCAATTCCCACTGTCTCCACCATCAACTGCCATATTGTAAAGCTTACTGTCCATCTTAGAACTTTTACATCTTTCAGGTTTGGCTCGTTTCGTCATTGCCATCTTTTTGGCCAGCGTCTAATAGTCACTTTCGTTTTTGTTGTTTGTTTGTTCTCCTCGTGTGCTCATCAATTATGGTGTGATTTCACTTGACTGTATTTTATGTGCGGACTTTAGCGCAGTCATTATATTTGGCTCCATATACACATTCTACTCTTTTCAACCGAATAGCCACCGTTTTGTTGCACCCAACCTGAGCGTAACTCTTTTTCTTTCTATAATAACCCTCTAGTTTGGGCTCTGTTTAGGACCGTTCGGATGTTCCTGCCTTGTATGGACAAACACTCTTGCCTCTTCTTATTATGCCTGGATGCTATAGCTAATGTTCTTATTGGCCACTTACTCAAATTAATTGGGTATTCACTGTCATGCGCTTTACCCAAACTTGGGTCATTATATGATCAACTTCTTTCGTACACAATGCTCTGACGCGACTAATCTAAAGTTCTTCCTAGCAGTAAGGCTACTGATTGTTCTCAAGACCTTTTTAAACCATGGCTGATTCGTCTTTTTCTTCAGATTCATCAGAATAAAGAAAGGGAATTTAACTATCAGTTTAAGATATGTCTCACAAAATCCACTAAAAAGCAGAAATTTCCACGGGTGACGGAGGTTTTTTGGTCGACAGTACACCATTGCAAACAATAATGTGCATTATTAGGTATAAGTTTCGTCCGTGAGTAAGCATTTTTCATGTTAAATGGCGTAGAAATCCAAAACTCATATTTTGCTAACCCAAACAGATCGTCCCATTTATACTGAATGATAGAGGAGAACAAGTGGAAGACTTGCTGTAAATGGCTCCATGCTGCTCCTGGTAAACTCCAAATGAGTTTATGTGAACACACAGCAAACTATCGCAAAACATGTCTAGCGGGACAAGAACCAAACAATCCTATCGTCAGTGGCCTATTCCGAAGGGCAATTTCATTCCCTACGTTGAATGACGCTAGTCTTATCTGTTCCTCAGCATCTTATGACTTCTACCTCCCGGGCGTTTGGTCCATCTTTGACTACCCACCAATCTCAGGCACATAAATTTGTCACCCGCCAGAATAATCACAAAGTTCACCAATTCAAGCCATAAAGCACTTCCATGATGAGCAGAAAGCGATTTGATGGATTATTAGATGAACCGTTTGAGTGCATGTAACATGAACAAAAAGACGTACATGCGAAGGACTTAGATTACTGACCTCCGGTTGGTCGGGCGGGTGCTGTACCGGCTGTCAAATGCTATCATCCTCCGTCACATTCATGCACCTAAACCTTACAGCCGATGTGCTCTATCCAATGGATGCCCGTCACTGTGACCTGTGAGCTGAGGTCTTTTTGTTACCCGGACGATATCAACGTCCAGCCAGATGTGCAACCCACTCCACAAGATCACTAATGTCACTAACTTTTCGCCCACCGAGCAGAGTTGCGATGAATTAGCTATGTAGTTCGTGTTCGTAGACGTTATGGAGAGCAAGCATTCCTGTAACTCAGTTGGCAGAGCAACCGTCCAGTAACCGGAAGGTCGGTGATTTGAGTTCATTCTCAGACTTCATGTGACTTCATGTTTATGCTGCATGTATTTGGATTTCTCATTTCCAAGACTGCAATTCGCCACTATGTGGTATTCACCATCTAAACAATTACGTTTATAGAGTTCAGACTCTATCTCTGATGCAGAAACTCATGCAAGTCACTGGAATTCCCGCTCGAGCATACCATAATCAATCGCTCCATAATTTTTCAGATGCATTGTGTAGTAAGACGAAAGGTGAAACCTACCATGTCAACGTATATATGATAGCTGAGCTGGACAACTTGATTGAAAACGTTTCATCACCAATCGAGATGACATCATCAGTGCGTTATTGGGGAACGTAGTGGTGCGTAGCGGCGGGTTAGTGGTTGTGCCACAACCACTCGGTTAACTAGAATCAACGATACAGTGACTGAAACTTCCCCAAAACTCTCAAAATTAATGCTGTACTGAACACTCAAGTAACGGGCAGCAAGTATCTCCAGATGGTTGCTGCAATACACCGCGCAACTCAAAATGTATTTTGAAGACCAACACGAAGGTAGCCTTTAGATCAATGGGCTGTTATCCAAATACAGAAACTTTGCCCAAGTACTCTCACTTATACCCACATTTCCACAGACGACCGGAACTAAACGACACCCGGTAAGCCTCACTCAAAACATCTCAGCATTCACAAACCAGCAACTAGGGTGTGCTTAAACTCCAAATTGGCACGACAAGCAAACCGACTGGCCTATTCCAAAAATCCTGGCGTACTCATCATACAGCCTTCAGAATCTGTTAAATTAACATTTGAGTACTCAACGAGCATCCTAAATCATTGAGCCGCCACTCACAAACCTCTTAGACATCATGGCTCATCTCCGACATTCGTAACGCATAAAGTCCCCTTTCTGGATTGTTAGCCATCAAACAAAACAAGTAAAAAAGGGGTAGTCAAATTTTTCTTTCATTGCTCGACCAGCCAAATTTCTAGACTTGGCACTTACGTTTATAGGCCTTCGTTTGAGCACGAAGACGAAAACGTCTTGGCAACTGCTTGGGTATATCCAAATACGGTAGAGTACTATTAGCTCGTACGAATAATAGAGGACTCCATCTCCCAATAAAGATCACCTTTTCAGTTGGCCCATTATTGTTGAGTAGTTTTTCTTTGGGGGTCACTAGATTTCCTATCTTGATGGCGTATTTTGAGGAGTAATATATTAGGACTCAGTATGGGTGTCTATCAAAGGTCTACTCTATTATAGAATTTCTTCTTAGAAAAGAACGAAAGTACGTTTGAAAAGTACGTTTTCTACTCTCCGAGTCAAATACACTGACCCCAGTTTAAGTATAGTGTGCACATTCTGTGCAGATATCCTGTATAACTTCCAAACTTGTTTTGCATTCGGCCACATAAACACCTGCTTTTGTTGGTTGTTGATCAGCAGCCACCTGATCAACAACCAATAAACTCACCCGAGCTACCAATATTTCACCACATTACCACCTGCTTTTGTCCTTTCAGTTGACATTCGTGATCCGGAAATTGTATGGAAGTGGCAACTTTCTGGCGTACTAGACTATGATAAAAAGTCAAAATTGTGGCTGGTTCAAAAGGTAGATGAGAACGGACGCTTATTGGATGAGTACGGTAATCCTATCGTCAACGGAGGACTACTTCCCAATGGAACGTTTTCTGAACTAAGCAGTCAATACTGGATTCCACGTCTTCAGGTTATGTTTATCGCTGAGAATCCAGATGTGTTTGCCCAACGGATTGCTGCGGCCTATCGCGACAGAAAAGCCCACGAAGCTGGACTTCGTTATCATCTTTATTTGGACTGTATGCCTACGGAGGGCATTGCGGAACTCAGTAACCCTGTTCTGAAACGCATAGTCCATTTGGCAAAGAATGATACCTGCACAGTGAAAAACTACAGAGGGTGAGCAAACATTTTCCTGTTTTTGCTTGACTATCTTTTTGTCCTGTCCGTTCAGGTTGGAAGAAGCTACACAAGCACTGGAGAAAGAGGTGATGTTTGATTTCTGGAGAGGCATGAATGATTTGATCCTTCGAGAATTGGTCGAGAAAAACAAGGCTCAGTACAGTTTTATACGGCCCGTAGAAGTCAAAAAGCGAGAAGTTCCCTGGAAAGGTATGCTTTTCTTATCAGGAACTGCGTCTGTAGTTGACGGCTTTCCTGTTGCCTTTGGGTGTTTTCTTATAACACACTCACGCGATGTTGTACTATCCTGTACTGTACTATACTATACTATCCTGTTCTATAAAACTAGGAAGCTAAGCTACGGTTAACAAAAGTAAATGAGAACATATGGTTAAACGGGAAGCGCTTGGCTAAGACATTTTTATTTGATTGGCCAAGTTTTAATGGCTCATCAAAGTGCAAATAATATATGCCCGTTTGAGTGCGAATTACATGTGAACGTAAAATTAGGTGCTGGATTTTCTCGGTTTCTAGGAGAGACTGACTCCAAATGCGTGAGGGCTCAAACCTGAAGAGCGTATCAAACCCCATGGATTTTATTTCCTTGCTTTCCAGTCCCACTACATTCAACCTCTACTAGCTGATACCGTTTAGCCATTTTTGGAATCCGCAGTGGATAGCGAAATCCATCCGTCGTTTTCTCATCAGCATGACCAACCTAAAGTTGTTAAACAACTTGATTTCACCACTCAGAATTTCTTGTGTTTTTAACAGTGCTCTCTCTCTCCCATGGGAAAAGCGTGGCTTATTGGTTTAACCACTGCTTTGATCATCCACCTGACATTACTTCGTTCTCTCTGAAAATGTTTAAATATTGTCTTGACGTTGTGCGCCCAAAGTTTGCAGTACTTCAGAGTAATCGACCGAGTTTTGTAATTCGGAAAACTTAGCCCCCCCCCCCCGCTGAACCGTCTCTTCCAAAACCATATTTTTCGTGTCCCGTAGTGGTACGCTGCTCCATCAGATCCATTCAAGCTAAAGTTCTTTCGTCACCAGTAATCACATGCTTACAAAAAAAGTTACAGATAGTGCGGTCTATTCTCTTTTGGACACATTCACAACTTACGCAAGGGACTTTTGTCACCTGTAAATTTCGGATATGGTGCATACCGTGTTAGCTGTCAGACGTGCTGCACTCTTGTCTTTAAGTTAAGGGATCTCTGTAAGCTTAAAGCACTCTGAGGTGGCAGATGGACGTTGTTCCCGCGATGTGTCAGAAATCTTACCCAATGCATCTTTGTCGTTAAATTCATCTGGTAAGGACGGCATCTTCCGAGATCATTTTCTCTTGACGATCCTGTGGGTATTAAGTTCCGAGTGCTTATGGACAAATACTTGACCCTAATGAAACACCGGCTTCCCAGTGAAACATCAGTTTTGCCTAACTAAGTGGCCCATTGTCCCGCTCTTGATACAGGGACCGACAGAGTATCACTCACCATCCACATTTATCCTTGAAGCGGATCTGTCAACCGAACATCACTCAGCACATGAGCTTCAGTTATAAGTAATGATAATCACCGTTTTTGTTGACCGGGCGGTGGTTCCGTTAATTCACCATTGATGCTTCTGATGGTATTTCGCATCTCTAAGGTACACTGCTTGTGACGCACCGTTTTAACTGAGCCTTGTTTTGAATCTAGTATAACCTACACTACAATCAAATCAATCATCAACAAAGCAAATTTACTTTGTTCTGAGTACCCAGTAGTCGAAAAACATAAACAGTGTTTTAGATATAACCCTATTTACTATGCATCTTTATCGGCTTGGGTTTGTTAACCTAGCAACAGACTCAAAAACCTAAAATCAGCTGGTTATCATTATATTCTGTACCCCCATACTTTGTTATTAGGCCCCAAGTAGTTTTACGTTTTAGTTTGATCAACTCTACAAATAAACCTTACTTTGGCAGCTATTTAAATCATTCTAACCATCCCATTCTGATGAACGGGAGCGTGAGTGAAGACCGCAGCGATTGGGTGCACAGTGCGAACAGTTTCCAACTTGAAGCACTCGGTGGCGTGAATCTAAAATAAGATTTAAAAATTTTGTTTATTGTGCCTCATTGAGGCACCAAACGCATTCATAATCTCGATCATCGTTGGGAGTAGACGGAGCATGTTATTTCGTGATGCTCAGTTCTCTCAGTAAAAGATCGTCGGCACGCGCAGTTCGAGGACCACGATGTGCGCGCACCTGAGTAACCAGAACATCAACAAGACATCCGGTGGCAAGCGCTTTCAAAGGGCGCCCAGTATTCACACAATGGAACTGAATTTCCGAAAGCTACAACGTGTCCCTGATGGACTAAAACAGACAGGCAATTGAGTTCAGAGTACCAGTCCAAACTTTTGAGCCCCCACCTAGGAACCAAGGTGTCCCAGCGATGCTAAGAATGTATTCTACCCGGATTTTTCCGTCAGAGGTATGATTGCTTCAGTGGACAGTGAAATTTGGTGGGCTGCAAAAATACGAACGTAGATTATGGTGGTTTTTGGTCTGAGCACATACACAACAAAATGCAGCATTTTGAAGTAAAAAGTTTTATTCCACCTGCAAAGGCTTTGCGGCTAAGAGCATTGTGCGACGGTGTTGAACGCCCATTCTCTGAAGTCTGCAAATGGTCAACTGAGTGCGACAAGCCCACTGCGAAGAGGCCTGTCGAAACCAGGCCAGCGATAGCCAGTGTACTCTAGCATGACAGCTGCCTCCAGGTCTGGGAAGCCTGTGCCCCAATCTCACGTGCCATTCTGCGTAGACGGCCGGGACGACGCAAGTACATCCGTGATTGTCTCAGATCACACAGACGCGTAGCGTCCGTAGGTCACGCTCAATGGGACATGGGAACTGGAGGAAGCACCTGCCCAATGTCAAATTCCGAAGTAAATTGATTCTACTGATAGTGGACCGGCAAGAAGTGATGCCGTTTGAGTGCGGCTGAAGCGCAACTCGGATCACCAGTCGGCTGTAACAAAAACACATGTTTGAGAAATGGCGGCAAAATACCGACGCGATAATGGTGTAGACGACGCGAAGTGGACAGGGGTATCACAAACGTTCACTGATAACTTTTCTCCATATGAAATTATCCAATAATTTGACGGAAACTCTGAAGGCGACACCTGAAGAATTGCTCAGAATTTAACATTGTGATTGGTTTCTAGATCATATATGTTTGTTTTTCACCGTGTTTGCCAGCGAGGTCATTTGCTATCTGAATGACAACTTTTGCAAAACCTAGCGCTAGGCTCGCCTCAAGCCTTACTGATTTCAAAAAGCTTGGCTGATGGCTTGTGCAGTTAATCTTGAGCAAAAATATCGGGTAGTTTTTTATTTGGGTTAAAAACGTCACAAACGAGAGATTCAACTGGGCTTCAGGTGAGTCTCTAATCAGAACCAAATTGGTGTGCAAATGAGTGTATTTCGCTAATCAGACTGTTTTCTTTTTCGCACATCGTGAATGGCAAGTGGTTTCTTTGGCGTCCAATTTCTACTCGTCTAATTCGCATCACACACATCAAACCTGCAACCCCAAGTAGTTCCACAGCCAGAGAAGCTTAATTTAGTCAACCGATGATACGAGAACCCCATCGCTCAATGCGTTGCTAGTGCCCACTCTAGTGCCATTCTGATGAGGTCGGCTCAGCAGGCCTCTGCGAGTTTCCGTCAGATTCACTTATGGGCTTCAGAACACTTGTTGGACATAAACTAAATTCAACTAAACTAGGCGACTTCTGGTAAACATAGTTTTTTGTACACCGCTCTTCTTGCCATTGCCATACAGAGTTTATGGTAACCTTTTTGGTTTGTCCGAAAACCGACGCAGACTCAGAAGCCAGAAAACTCATCCGGGAATTGTCACTTTGGTGTATAAGCTGCTTCTTCCAACACCTCCACTGACGTATGTGATCCATGTATGCGCCAACGATAAAGACAGCAGGACTGCTATCCTTCAGTCAAAGCAACTGTAGTAACACTGTGCGTATAGCTGCAGTATATCTCCTCAATTGTTAGTAATCAAGAATGGGAACATTGCAATCATGAATATGACTGATAACGCCTAGCGCATTTCGAATGCAGCCCAAGTACATTAATCACGCGAATCAATCATCATCATCGACAGCATGACATCAGTGTTCAAGACCGATGCTTCACTGCCGTACAACCATGATTTATTTGCAAGCCTTGTTGGAAAGAAAAGAGTGAAGGTCGACTGGGAAGGGACTTAGTGCTAGCTTACCACAATCATTCCGAAGTCTGTATATCTCCAGGCCTTCACTCAGGCGATGTGGATAGAAACTGGAAACGAGAACGCCACTGACATCGGTTGGTAGCCATATCTTGTAGTGTCTCCAACCAGGCACACTGAGGATCATGCGGTATCCTTCCTGGAAGGCGAGCGCGAATCAGTGGAGTGACCCTATAAGTCTTCCGCACATCCTCAGCATGCAGCGTAATTTCGTATGAGTTTGGTGCGTACCAACTCAACACTGATAATCAAATCAGCAGGCGAAACCTCCTCGAGTGATTACTTGGAAAAATGTACTTTCTAGTTTTAGTGGGAACAAAATGGTTAAGAAACAGGGGTCTTATTAGTGTTGCGCACCCTATGCTAGATATGAACGGGAAATCTAGTATGGATTCAAAGATTACATGATTAGATATTGTTTGTGTTATATCGTTCAATATTTATCACCGCTCACAGACCGATGGGGAGAGAAATTGTGCAGGTTATAATGACTCAAGAGGACACTACACCCATCTGTGGTTGAACAGAAACGGCTTACTGATGAGTGCTGTGTTGTCCAGGCAACATCCATCTACTAGGAGTCTCCAAAAACAACTTTCTAAATAAATGTTTGCACAACTCATTCCAAACAAAATATTCCGCTGGTGTGATATATTTTGCTTTTGTCTGCATAATCATCATGAGCCAAATATTCATAGTGTCCTCCAACCTTCCGCTACCGCAAACACGCACATCTGCAGCAAATAGCCTTCTTTATTCCAAGACCCTCTAGAAAATCTCACATTTGTTCATGATTTTCGGTGACCAACCCTGAATTGTTCTCGATCTAGTTCTGCAGGTACAATGCTTCGACTACCCTGAAGGAAATCGCATTTGCACAAGGAAGGAACTCTTCCCTGACCAAATAATTTTTACTTCCACGTTTTGATTTGTGTCTACCTCGAGTGCGGGAAGGTGGAGAACCGTCCTCTCACCGAACAGTAGTGGTTTAACTAACATCCCCTATGAACTTACTTATCGCTTGCACGACTCTAGCAAGAGTACCTATTTGTCGGGTTTTCCTGAGAAAAAATCTAATAGACCTTCTTACTGCCAGAATACTTATTCAAACAATCAATCTATCCTTACATTTAACGAGCGAGGAAGCGTAGCTACATATATATAACTCCCAAATGTGTAAAACTTGCCAGTCAAAAGTAAACTGGCCTGTCGGTTAACAGGGTGAAAAATAGTCTGAAAATCAGCACAGGCATTTTGTTAGCTTTCCTGGTTTTCATACTAACACCCGGCGCGAAATAGTATACCGCTCTTGCTTGATCTTGAGCTGAATACTGTCAGGTGTTATAGTTCCGGGCTTTTTCAAACCTCTGACGTGATCCGTGGGAAGCATCATGCAAAAGCCTTTCGTCCGTAAACACGCATTGTCTCTGTTTATCTATCCAATTTTATCAGCATTTCACTCCGAAATTTCCAAACGCGTCAATAGACGTCCGATCAAAGCCATCTTTACTCGGTGATTTTTCTCAACAGTCTTGTACATTCGGTTGCAATGGTCAACTTAACAACAGGTGTGACAAAGCAGAAGCAAAAGAAACCACTGTCAAGCGAGGCAATTGCGGTTCGATGCCGTGTCTGCCTCGGAGGGTGAACGTTAGTCAAACATACGGACTGATTAATGAGACGTGAAGCAATGCTTCCGACTCTTCCTGGTTGTAATACCAACTGACTCACTCATCTGGCGTGGCCACGAGTGACTTGGCACATTTCAATTTCACCGTCTAATTAGGAGAGTTTACAGAAGGAGATTCGAGTAAGAGACGAGCACATAAGAGAGCAATAAGAAAGACGTCAGTCGCACTTTGATGCATCCACCATGGAGCCTGGCGTTTGACATGATGATTATTTTCGTTTTTATCATTGCACGTGAATAAGTTACTTTCGGGACGCAGAAAGCTGTGTCTAACAAGAAGTCTCAATGGCTTGAGTGAAACAGATGGACATTTACCTCCAAACGTCTGTGGTGTTTCTTTCGAAGAATAAGTGGGAATTGGAACATCGATGGCAGGTGGCTGTACGCCTACGACCAACACCTTACGTTCAAACAGCTATGAGATGCACTGGCATAGCATACTGGGTTTCGAATCTCCCCAACTCCGTATTTTATTCAGCTTTGGCCGTCCTTGTGCTAATCGTATTACTCTGATCAGTACTACAAGCAAACAAACTGAACAGGAGCACCGTACTGTCCACTCAAATTTAGGTAGTAAATACCAAGGAGATGTCCGAAAGAACGAGAATAGGGTATTTGCAAATCAACCGACTATCGTACAATAGCTCTTACACCCCGCTTTCCCTTTTTCAAGGAACGCTTGATATTCCAAGCTATGACTTCGACGACATGTTTGATAAGTTTGCCTCGCGGTCGATGCTGACCAAGCCAGAGGCGATTGTGGCTCTTTGCAAAGCACAGTTTGAGTGTCTGGAAGCACGATCCAGACTGATGTTCCATGTACCCATGGCAAAACATACAAGACTGGAGGAATTTGAACAAACGCAATCGATGACTACAAATCAAGTGGCTGTATTCCTGAAGGTAAGAACCGGTTGTATATGAGTTCATTTGCGTTTTATCTAACCCAATTTTCTAGCCTCTAGATTATGGAAGCCATTTAGATAACACGTGATTCTATTCTTGACCAGATCATGATAATTGTTGTCAGTCTGAGCAAGATTAGAGATTTTTAAACTTCTCAGCAACCTCGCAAACAAACCGATAGTTTGGAGTAAAGACTGGAAGGTTTTGCAACCAAAGGCTGTTTAAAGAACCAATGTTAGGCGCTCTCTGATCCACGTTACTAGGCTTGTAGTGATATGTTGCAGTTCCAGTAGACTGATTCACTATGATATACTAAAGCGTCCTAATCCTTCGAGATGCCGTTTACAGAAATCGGAAGTTTGTTTTGTACATCAAGAGGCTTACTAATGGTCAACCTGATCCGCTCATTTTTCTTATCTAGTGTCTGCTGAACAAAGTTAGGAAATGCTGACGCGTTCAATAGCCTTCCTACAAGCCCAATTTTTTGATAGGTTCGTTGTAGAAAATTTTTACATTCAGCCTCCCTGAACACTAGGAGGGACTGATGGTGTGATGTTGAAGTGCACAACCGTATACAGGTTACATTGATGTAACACAAAAATCCACAACTTCCGGTCAAAGTAAAAAACGTCGTGTCATTGTGGAGTCGTGGTTCAATGAAGAAAGGCTTCATGGGCCAAAACAGTGCATTCACCAATACATGCAAAAAACCGTAACTATGGTGTTTCCCTCCACAAATAGCTAATCGTAAGCTACACTGGCTTCAACATGCGTGCCGCGTACATCGAAACTCGAACGTAGAAACCTTGCTGGGCTTACCGGCCCCTAATATTTCTTTGAAATTATTGCGAAAACAAATTATCTTGATGTAACCACTGCTTGGTGAGGACGATTTAGCGAAATCCCTGTGGCTTTTTCACTGCCAAGCACTCGNTCCCTACACAAATAGCTAATCGTAAGCTACACTGGCTTCAACATGCGTGCCGCGTACATCGAAACTCGAACGTAGAAACCTTGCTGGGCTTACCGGCCCCTAATATTTCTTTGAAATTATTGCGAAAACAAATTATCTTGATGTAACCACTGCTTGGTGAGGACGATTTAGCGAAATCCCTGTGGCTTTTTCACTGCCAAGCACTCGTACCACTTTATCCCTGTCTATATCATACCAAACACAGGACACGTGGATTGACAACTTGCGCAAATACATTCGGTCTTGTTTGAGGGACAGTGGGAAAGGATGGTTTAACATATACGAAACGGATTTCTACGTGTACACTCAGTCCAAGTTGAAAAAGCTCATGGAACTGGTGAAATACTGCATGCAGGACACGCTACGCTATTTGGTGATGGACTCACTCACCAGCCTGACCAATATGATACGTGATGGATGTGTGAGCTGTCTCAATCTGCCCGAAAATTACGAGTGGACCAACGATCTGCTGACCAGCAGTCTTCCGTAAGTTGCATTCTGTGACAATGTTAGGTGATCACGTTGAAATTATGGTGCTGTGTCAAGACTGATACTTCGTGGCCCAGTACCACACAGTCTTCAAGGTCTTGTTAAATCAGTTATCCAGACGTTCGCCAACATTGTGTACAGGTGGGATATTTTGTACACTCGCATGATGTAATTGCCTAAAGGTCGTCAGTGCTCACTGTCATTATATGCCCGGTCAACGTTACAGTGACCTACTCAGTAACTATCAGTCCCTATTGTCGTCAGCATCCAGTTCCCCGGAACCCCTGATGTGAAATATCTGGGTGTGATCCTATCAGTTAACCTCAGTTGGTCCCAGCATATCTAAGCAACGCTCAGTGGACTTCCAAGTCGAGTTGTTTATGCTATGAGACTGAGGAGTATTTCTGTTCTCCTCAACTACATCCGCAGATATGTTAATACTTGTGTTCTCTCCAAATGCATTTACTGTTCCTCCATTCTTTTCCCCAGGACTTCGAGAGCAAGAGTACAGCCTTATTGTGAGATCGCTAAAACACATTTCTCACTTCAGTGGAATTTCAGATAAGATATCCCGATTAGCCTCTTAGTAAACAAAGATTTTGGTGTTTGTCTCAACTTCACACGATTAATTATTTCCGACGTTTTCAATTCTGTTCACCAGTCACCCACTACGGTCAAGTCTACCTTCTGTACTCACTAGGAGTACAAGCTTTACCCGCTGGAGAGTCTTCTGACTCATCCCTTCTTGATTGATATCACTGCACCACGTGATGACCTCATACATTTGCATATGTAAAACGGATTATCTGTCGTATATCGAAGTATTTTACCATTTACATTTTGTGTCGTTTTAAAGTTGCATGCTGAATATTCACCTTCGGGTGCGCACACTTCCGTTTGAACTGTTTCGACTTTCACAATGAAAACGACTGATATCGTAGACGGGAAGAAGCAAAGCAGATAGTTGAGAATAACTTGTTCTTCATTATTACAAAGTAATTATAAAGAACTCGAATTAAGGTACAGACGCTTGGCATCGTAAGTTTCGACTAGACACCTTTAACTCGGATTTAAAAGGTTGTGATCATGTACTATCGACAAATCAGAGTGAAGGAAGCCCAACAGCCGAGCATCAATCCCACTGTCAGGAGTGTTTTACTCAAATGTCAGCTGATGAAACTGGGCCGTATTTTGCTGCTATAGGGCAAACTAGACGTTGAGAAATGTGACAATCACCTCTTGATTACAATAGGGGGGAGCTTTTCTCCAGTGAACCTCAATAGACGAGAATCCGCAACACGAAAGTGGCCAGTCGTGAGGTAAGTACTTTAACGGATTTCGCACAAGTCAGCTATTATGAAGACTTCTTATTGAGAAGCTTCAAAACAAAATGTCAGTAAATTTTCACATACTTATTACTCCCAGCCCGAAGAAAAATCCCATCTTTCTGGTGGACTTGGTTTTGGACGCTGATGGCCCGCACTACAGCACGCCACTGCAGAACTTCATTAACGTCCTGATAACCCTATTCAACAGAGCAATCAATTCGGTTCAGGACGTACCTCAACTGGAAAGGGTAAGCTGAAGTTACATAAACAAACCGGACATACGGGTTAGCGTCGTAACCTCATGGTCTCTTTCGGCAGTTAGTCAGACTAGGGTTGTTCTTTCGCTAATTATAAGCGTTAATAATAAACCTACTTCAATCTAGCTTACTTCAATATAGACTTAAAAACTCAATTTCTGTAACATGCAAGTGGCATTCTCTTATAATGTTTACATGTGCCCTTCCATTTAGTTTGTGATGGAAGGTATCACCTGCGCGGAAAATCCACTTCTTGAGGCTGTTGGTATTCGGGAACCTCCAGTGGAACAGCTGCGACAAAGGCTGCGAGACTATCTAACTGCATCGCTCATTCCAATGGAAGCATATGCCCGGCAGTATGAAAAGTTCATGGAACTGACCATGTTGGATATCAACACTTATCTCAAGTGAGTTAACGATATCTTAGCATATTACCCCCAATCGACAACAAGGTAGAAACGACTGTAAACTTCGAGCTTACCATTTCAAGTATGACCGTTCCTGTGCATTATTCAAGTTCACAATATCCCAGATCGCTTTAGCCGTAATAGCAGGACATTGTTTGATATGAACACAGGCTTGCGCATTCATTCAAGCAATTAATGTCCATCCAGTAACCATATGCGTCCGGGTTCACTTGTTTGCTTTTATATATCCCAAGCTGTGAAGAATGCGGGAATGCGTACAAATAGGGGGGGCTGTGTATGATGTATGGCGCACTGTGTATGATGACCATCAGAACCGGCTGTACACCACTGGCTTTAGGTAACGAGCACAATGTCCACGACTACAACATATTTCCAAACTCTAAAGACCCAGGATTCCCGTCTAGAGTAGTCCATTTGATCCACTCTGAATCACAAAACCTGCATAAACGTGAATGCAGGGCCTGACAGCCAATGCATCAAGCTAATAGTGGTTTAGGATTGTCAATCCATGTAAATTGCTGCTTTAAGCTTGTGATCGGGATTAAAAGCAGCCCGCTAAATGGAAATGAAACTTCCCCGGACCGTTTGACAGCTGTTCATCAGCAAGACATATCAGTTTTCTCCCTTGGGTTTGGAGTTTTGTCTTCATGATCTCTGTACCAGTTGACCCATTGTTGATAATGCACCACTATCTTCAAATTTCAGTGAGTTTCTGAGGTGGGTTCTCTCGCCATGTTTGAGTTCATTCAATTTATTAACTTCCTTGTTTTGCTTCTTTTGATCGCATGTGGTGTTGCTTTGCTTTATGCTGCCAGTTTGAGTGTTAAAGAATCACTCATATTTGCTTCCTGGTTAGTTTTGAAAGCACTGTGTTTTATAACTATCAACTTTTTCGTCTCACAGTTGTACTCAGGATTGCATAGCATTATCCATCAAGTGCGCGGAAATGCTGTTATTTGATATGATTCATTTCCCCACTTTCACTCCCATCTCTTGGTTACATCTTACTATAGAATAGGACAGCTTGAAGTGAACAAATTTATGCTTATCCTCAATGAAATCGTTCACAAGCAGGACAGACACTAAGCAAGTGCTGTCTCATTCGTTAAAAAAAGCGCGCATTACTTCCATCTCAGACAAGTCATGAAAGGAAACAAATGAATATTCTGAAAATACAAAGCTTCGCTCTATTCTCATGTACTTTGCGCACCGTTGCGCACAAAATGGGTTGATTGTGGCATAGTGGCAACCACTGTTCTTAAGTTCAGTTGTGAGCATTGGCACAAGATTCTGCTGGTCTTTTCAATTTGTCGTTTCGCGGGTAGTTATCCTGTTCAACTTACTTACCTATGGCAATCGCACTAACGCGATCTCATGTACACATCTGACGTGAACCAAGGTCTATCGGCGACTAGTGTGACACTGACATCCAAGTCAACTAAAGTAGCGTATCAAACGTGACTTGGAACTATGGAAGATTGGGGCACTTCTGGTCAACAACCCTAACGGCATTCTCCGTTGATATCAAAAGAGCCGCATCTTATAAAAAAAGGCGGCTACCACACCTGGATTCAAGTTACAAAGCTAGTGACAACACCCAGTCTATTAACCAGTAGGTGTTTCTGTATTATTCTCAACCCTATTATCCAGGATAAGGGTGCGAAGCCCATGTGACAAACTTCAAAATTGCCGCGTTGCTTTATCCAGACGTTGCAAAGACTGAAGTCCAAGTTACATGAGACGTTCTTAGCCCAAAACCCAACTATTACAAGGATCGTGATGGATTGTGAATAAGTTTCCGAACACATACTGGTAACCCAAATGCCCAGTGAAGTCAGGCGTATAGGCTACTCCAAACCAACTACTTTCTTTGAACTAGAATATCCTTTTGTATATACGTATATTTATATGGGAATAAAATATGGTAACAAAATCGAATCCATCGGACAAAATTATAAAGAAGAATCCAGCTTAATACAACAAAGTACACCAACATACATTAAAACACAACACGGCGCAGTAAAAAAATTATAATACAATGCATCAAAAGTAGCAGATGGCAAACAATACGGCAGACAATCCGGTAACCCAAACCTTAAGACGCTGCATGCCAACTCCAGCGGACGTTTGAAGGTCTACAGGAAACTCTCACCTGAGTGCACCACATCAAGTAGTGCCTGGCAATGCTGTTTGTTCTCTTTCACATTCCCTCTACCATGTCTCCATCAATACGATAACGGAAGGCTCATTACCAGCCTCTAATATCGCTGGAGGCAAAATACTCCCATGTCATTCGCCCACACATATTGAGTACGCAGACAACACAACTCTTCTTGGATCTGACGCCGTGGTAATTCAAGCAATATTATGTCATCTAAATAATCCTGCCTCACGATTTGGTATGCACACCTGTAAGACACTGACATCCAAGTCAACTAAAGTAGCGTATCAAACGTGACTTGGAACTATGGAAGATTGGGGCACTTCTGGTCAACAACCCTAACGGCATTCTCCGTTGATATCAAAAGAGCCGCATCTTATAAAAAAAGGCGGCTACCACACCTGGATTCAAGTTACAAAGCTAGTGACAACACCCAGTCTATTAACCAGTAGGTGTTTCTGTATTATTCTCAACCCTATTATCCAGGATAAGGGTGCGAAGCCCATGTGACAAACTTCAAAATTGCCGCGTTGCTTTATCCAGACGTTGCAAAGACTGAAGTCCAAGTTACATGAGACGTTCTTAGCCCAAAACCCAACTATTACAAGGATCGTGATGGATTGTGAATAAGTTTCCGAACACATACTGGTAACCCAAATGCCCAGTGAAGTCAGGCGTATAGGCTACTCCAAACCAACTACTTTCTTTGAACTAGAATATCCTTTTGTATATACGTATATTTATATGGGAATAAAATATGGTAACAAAATCGAATCCATCGGACAAAATTATAAAGAAGAATCCAGCTTAATACAACAAAGTACACCAACATACATTAAAACACAACACGGCGCAGTAAAAAAAATTATAATACAATGCATCAAAAGTAGCAGATGGCAAACAATACGGCAGACAATCCGGTAACCCAAACCTTAAGACGCTGCATGCCAACTCCAGCGGACGTTTGAAGGTCTACAGGAAACTCTCACCTGAGTGCACCACATCAAGTAGTGCCTGGCAATGCTGTTTGTTCTCTTTCACATTCCCTCTACCATGTCTCCATCAATACGATAACGGAAGGCTCATTACCAGCCTCTAATATCGCTGGAGGCAAAATACTCCCATGTCATTCGCCCACACATATTGAGTACGCAGACAACACAACTCTTCTTGGATCTGACGCCGTGGTAATTCAAGCAATATTATGTCATCTAAATAATCCTGCCTCACGATTTGGTATGCACTTCACACCTGTAAAGTGTAAAGTGCTACTGCAAGACAAGGTGGGCTCGGACCCGAGTCTCATGCTTGCGGATAAGCCGATTGTGGTAGCAGATATTTTGTCTACCTGGACAGCTGTATCAGTCCCGGTGGTCTCACGAAAGATATTTCCACCCGGATGGGGAAGACGAAAATATCTTTCGTGAACTTGCATCACCTGTCGAGGCGCGAGTTTACAATGTTGTGGTGAAATCCATATTATTATGCGGGTCAGAAATCTGGCCGCATCATCGATGCCTTCGGAGCATTGCCCGAGTCTGGTGAGAAAACTGGATCAATAATGCTGAGTGGTCTTCGAAAGAGATAACTCTTCCATCATAGATGAACTGATCACACCGTATAGACTGCACTGGCTCCATATGTCCGTCGACCGACCTCCTTGAAGGGTTCTTGACGCACAACCACGTGAAGGGCGGAGATGAGTCAGTAGAGGTCAAACAATGACTTGGTAGCGAAGCACAAAAGCCATTGGCAGCACACTCAGTTGCGCTGGTCATTGCCGTCTCCCTGAATCGAACCGCGAGACGGAGCACACCATTGGTTGGAGACATTGTCAGATATGACCCAGTCACGCCCTCAATGGCGCTCATGCATCTAGGCTGCTGCCTTCAATGCATAGCTTGGCTCCTAATCTCTCCCGTTAAAAATATCCACTAACTGTATCAGCTACCGACGCCAATGCGCAGCTATCTACCCCATCTCCGCAAACCACCGGTGAACGAAACTATGGCAGCTAGAAGCATTTCATGAGAAATACGCGGTTCTTACAGCCGATGATGATGAGCTGATGAAATAGCAATTTGGACGACAGCGAATGAATGTCTAGCACTCACGACTAGCAACATATCCACCTGTTATACTGCTGATAGAGATGACTCTGATAAGGGGATTTCTTGTTGTAAAACTCCGGACTTCATAGTTTACTAGGTTGGCATGAGTCACCATGTGTAGCTTTCCTGAGCGGAGATCGATCACTCCGAATAAGTTTGTCCATCACAGCTAAATTTTATGGAACCGCGCAGCACCACTGAGTCAAAATTTGCAAAGAAGAATGTTACTCGTAAGGGTGAAAAAGTTTCTCTTTGGAGGATATAAATATCCATTGAGTTACCCTTAGGAAAATCAGTTGGTCATAGGGGTTTAATGAGGTTTCGAGCAAAACCACAACCAAAGCCGAACAGTTTGGGTTTGTGCCTATGATACTTTAGTTTTGGTTGTGTAATACAATTAGACCTCTGTGCGTTACATTGTGTGTGATTTGTTGTTTCCTTCAGAATCTACGAATCTCAAAATCAAAGCGCATTGGAAATAAAGCTACAAGTTGAAAAGCAGCTTAAGGAGAAAGAGATGGTGGAAACGACCATTCCAAGCTCAATCATTATTGGACCCTTCTATGTGAATACGGAGCCAGTGCGACAGACCTTGATTAAAAAGTGCAAGGCCCTAACAAGTGCATTATTGGATCTGCTGGCGCGGCAGTTACGAAAACAAGCTGATCAGGTAGGTGCACACTACGAGTAAACGAAAATATGCCGACCTCCACAGAATTACAAATGCGTAACGCGTTTACGCACTGCGCGCCAGTTTCTCAGAATAAGGACAAAGATGATGCAGTTGGTGGAGCAATTACGGCCTTGGCTACCCAAGTATGGCCCCATAGCACTGAGTCTCGTGAACAACAGCTAGCGTGCTTTTCAGAAATAATAGCGCTAATCTTAGATCTCCAGGTGCTCTGCAGATGGACTCTCCTGCAGTAACAGTGGTAGAGTCTTCCGCAAGTAAGAAGCGAGAGTAGTCAGACTGTCCGTCCAGTTGTTTATATACCACTTACTTTGCACCTGTGTGCTACTTGATGGGTGGAACCTCAGAGTATTCATAAGGATATAAATTCTCAACTGAACCAAGTCCTGTGGACATTAGAATACAAGACAAAAGGTGGAGGCTAAAACGTAACCTTGAATCTTCTGTTGCCAAGTCCCTGCCGGGTTCTCGTCACCGAATGCATCGAAAATTCCCTACAAAATAGTTTTGGGTATTTAGACAACTGAATAAGACGAATACTGCGAAGATTCGCTTAAAAAACCGTCAGCGACACGGTGGTTTCACAGGAAGGAATTCGGAAACTGAACTCTTCATTACTAAACAGAAGAGTTTAGCGAAACTGAGAGGAGCAAAACTTCCCTTTCTTGGTCAACAACCATACGTATAGAATAATGAAACTGTTGAGCTGGTGTAACGAGTTATTCATTAACTTGATTCTAAAGTATCCGCCTACTATAGTAAAGGTGCTTCGGACTGTAAAATTTGTCTGCTATTGCTAAGCTGTTCCCATTATTGGGTTCTGTTTATAACACGTTCTCACTTTCCAACTACTTATATCAAATAAAGTAATGTCTGAGGTCGCATTTCACCCACGAGTATCATAACCTAGAGATGCATATTTAGGTAAGCTGTACGTACAGAAGGTATTATACATATAAATATTTGCATAAAATATTGATCAGAGGGTTTTGACCCTGTAACCCGTGAACTCCATGAAACTTACGAAAAATTGTGACCAATGTATTCGAGTAAGTTGTCTCGCCCCTCAGTTCGAGCTAACAATCAAATCCCACACAAAGTCCAGAATTGCCGGTCGAAGTTGACCCCTTCACTGGTATCCTAAGGATTGTTGCATTGTCTCCCATTTCTGCATGAGTTTTTACCACTAGCAGTTCATCTAGAATCTCAGGTTTCCCGTTCAAAGTCTTTCAGATAACCAAGAACTGCTAGTTCTTTCACTGCTCACATCATTCCCCTTATTATCATTAAAACTTTTAGGAGTGATAATTTTCCAAATAACTAGTTTCACTGGTTTCTGTCCAGCTGCACTATGATTCCGAAATGAGACGATCCAACTCACCATTTTGATGATTCAGCTTCATCCCACCGTATGCAATAAACTTGACAACAGAGATCTACACTTCGGAAAATCATACTGTGGTAGATAATTACGCTGAGTAGATCGCTCGATAATGAACAAACTTCTAGTCTACTGGAACTTCTGTTTGTTTGCATGTTCATACCATGACCCTAAAGTTTTATGGGCCCTAATCCAAAACGTGGTATGCACCCGTAGCGTTAAAGTCACTGTGACAACTTGATTAAGTCCAGCGAGACAAGTCCACAGGAATAACAGTACGACAGGGTCTGTTGCGAAACCATGATTACCAAACCCATCGTCACTGACCAGCTTCTTCCCCCGGAAAGTGTTCATGCATAATTACGCATGGGTTTAATGATCATGTTCTACAAGTTTTTCCCATTCGCATAGATTCGCACCCTTAAGATGTTTACCATGAGAAATAACACGGTTTTTCCTCGATACAATACCAAGAAGGGCAAGACCGGTCGACGGTTACCAAAGCGTTTTGAGCAACCTCATGAGTAGCTTATCACGTCAAAAGGCAACGTACTGCGATATCTCAAATATTGTAGCAGCTTAAACACAAAGCAGTTTGGTGCAGCACATTTAGTTGAAGCGGGCCGTCAACATGGGGTTCAGCTGAGTTTTGCATCAAAACCAAATTCGTATGCAATGGAAATTGCAGTGGTTCGAGATTTACACGTTGCCACATAAGTTTATATGCTTTGTACATTCTTATGGCTCATTTCCACTAGGCCTCCGAAGAATTCCGGATGATTGCAGCCCGTCTTTATGAGAAACCGAACACCATCGAAGAGTTGACAGAAATGCGCGAATGGATTGCCACCATTCCCGACCGACTAGAAGAACGTCAAGAAGGCATCGACAAGGCCATCTCTGACTATGAACTCATTGACGCCTTCTTCTATATTCTTTCCGCTGACGACTTCAATGCGAAGTGAGTACACTGGAACGAGGATAGTTTTAGCGACAGTTGCAGACCTACATATTCAGCTCCGACATTACACATCCTGTTCTTCCACCTTCGCAAACAGTCAGTAGAAAAAACGCAATGTGGTAAACAGATTTAATATCAACGAATTCTCATTAGGCCAGTTACATCAGGTTGCTTAGTAAATCACCTAGTGTACGGCACGCACTGAGTTAACGCAGTACCGGGGCAAGGCGCAAATATGAGGATGAAACGACGGGATCCATCTTGACTACAGCTAATTGTAAATACAATAAGTTAAGTTCCCGTGCACATCATCGGTTTTTTAGAAATAGGGGTGTGATAACCTAAACAGTTGTGGTGCTACAAGGTCTCCTTCGAGGTGAACTACAGAGATCACGTAATCTTAAGGATACCTAAAGAGACGTTGCGAGAATTCACTAACAAATAAATAATTGAGGTCTAAATTCCAAACTTTGCCAGATTTTGTTGCCTATCGCCTTTGACTCTTCGAAAAGATGGTCTCAGGTAAAACTGAGCTTCATTTGATGTAGTAGAATAGCCTTACACAAATTTCACGTGTCCGATTTATGGTTAATGCTTACTTACAAAAAGCAGGTTACCGCCACTCTGACGCTCCTGCTACCTGAAGCCCTTTATGGATCGTCTCAGTACTCTGGACGGGGTAGCAAAACAAAATATGTCTTGCTGTATGATCTACAAGACCTTCAAATAGAGGCTGCCCTCAAGAATTCAATAAAAGTTGTCTTGGAACCGTACTCGTGTGGGTTGGCGTCAATGAATCTATGGCTAGACAGTTCAAAAACGTGTGTTCGGTTGTGCAACCGGAAGTTCAACCGAAGAATGTATTCATCCTCAAAAGCTACAGTAGTTTGATCATGCATTGTATGCCAAGTCTGAGTGTCTAGTTCAGAACGCCATAAGCAGAGAAGTGGTCAACCTCAGACCTGGTTGAGGGATATGAAAGAGACGGCGAAAAGTTTTGGCACTATTCGTGCTACTCACGTCCCAGGATAGGGCCCGCAAGTTTATGGTTGAAGACGCTGTAAGATATGATTGCTAATCGATTTCAATGGCTTCGGTACTGTCAGTCACCATCCAGAGTGTCTGAATGAGTATCTGGAGGATAGGAACGTCGGAATGATTGTGGTAGCCTGGTACCATTTCCGTTCCTCATCCACTTTTATTCTCTTCACGATAAGGCTTTCAGATAAATTGTTTGTGTGGCAGAAAAACACCCATTATGAAGTCTGATGTGCTGTCGGTGATGTCGGTGGTGTCAGTCGCTCATTGTCATTTGGGAGTGCAGTCAGCAAGAGAAGACTCAGCCCTCGAATTATCCCCACCTCTATGTAGCTTGATTGGGTAGGCCGTTGCTGCCATGGACAAATCATGAGAATGAGGCTCACTGGTTCAACCGAAAACCAACCAACGTACCATGTATACCTGAGCCGTTTACCTAGTGATTGGATTTTATGTTTTGATAGGCAGAATTTGACAGACAGAATGGTAGAACCCCTATGGAATAGTTGTGAACTAAGCCATAAACCGTTAGCGCACCATCGAATGGCTGTCACATTTGTCCGTGGCAAAAAAATAACTTATATAAATGTGGAAGGCTGCGTTGCAAGTATTCTAACATTACGCTCAGTCACATATTCAGCTGACTTATTTCGAGCACCTAATCATCATCATCCTCGTCACCGAGAGCACACCAGTAATGCGTCAGTGCATTACAACCACAATTTATTTGAAAGCCTTATATGGAAGAAAAGAATAAAAGTGAGTGGGGAACGGTCAAGACGCATGGATGAATATGTCCGACCAAAATGTAACGTCATGAAGCTGCCTATTTTTATTAAACTCTTAGCTAGCTCCGGTAAAGGTGATCTCAGATAGACAGCTTAGTTCCCAGTGCCGCCGAATGCTGCAATAGGATAGAACTAGGTCAGCTAATCATCCTCCGTTCGCTTGGCAAACCTGGATCAAACCCTAAGATCACTTCTATATCTATTCCCTCAGTTAAACACTGTGGTTACGCCAGCTTTTCTAAGTCAACCCTAATGGTCACACCATACAATTTGAGGCGAACTGAAATCAAAACGTGCGTCGTTCGCATAAATAGATTTTGTGTCAACAGTCTTTCGACGCCAACGTTTCCGCGATAGGGATGTCATTTTACTTGCTTAAAACTGTTTACAGTTGTGCTAATTTTAGCACAGTAGTCATTTTACTTCTTTTAACCATCTTGTGTCGCTTGTATAAACTAAGTGAAGGTACACGCTCACAGAATCCTTTGGTTCACTGAAGGAAGGAAGCCGAGCAGTACGTGAGCAGTACGCGTCTCTAATTCTATCTTGAACCAGGTAGCCCCTTTGGACAGAATACAAATACTCGGTTCTCCATACCAGCAGGGTATGTAGGTGGGCTAGTAACTTCACACTGAATGAGTGGACGGCGCCAAGAAAGGTCTCAACAGTCCGCTACCGAGTGACAGGATAGTTTCGATTGACCCATGCAAATCTCAAATTGGTTTCCCTTCGCCTAACTCGATTTTCAATGTAAGACAACCCGAGAAAAGCCGAAAACTCCAATCAACATAGAGATTCTCGAAATTCGCCGAGAAAAATTGGAAAATCCGCGTTTTTCGGCGGCTTCTGTCGCCTTCTCTGTTGTGGTGCCCATGGGCCTCGTCCTGCTCGGCGCTATTTGTCTTGTCGTGTGGATCAAGTCCAAGTCGTATGTCGTAAGGGTTTACACTATTGATCATAATAGAATTCCACTTAGCATGCTACCTGCACTAAGCAAGTGTTCTAACTGATGCTTCGGAACTGTTGATCGTCAGTTTTAGGTGCGAATAAGTGATTGAATTGAATTACACATTTTAGTTATGGTTCAGCCCCAATTAATGGAATGAGAGAATACATCAAATGCGTGGCATATCAGTTTCATGTCTCCGCTGAAATGCGAGTGACTCTGTTGTTTGCCCCACTCGACATAGTGATTATTTTGACGCCTCCAAAGAAAGATTTCTGAATGGAACAAAAAAATCTTCCACATAATATCCCAAATCGATTCGTCCCGTGGTCTTATTATCAGGGCAATCAACTGGATTCATCCAATAACTTTTTTAGGTTTATGAACATTATAAGAGTTTGAAAAATGCATTTCTAGAGCCCTGAGAGTTCTGTAAATCCTAAAGAAAAATACTAAAATTGCCAAAGAGACGCTGTAGCAAAAGAAGTCGTGATTCAGTGATCATCTAGGATTAGGTGGATAGCCATTTGGTGCCAGGTGTTTTCTTAGGTATTAATACTACCATGGATAAAACACCCATTCAGTTTAGTTGGACTCCTGTGCAAAACGACCCAAGCACACTCAGTCCCATATCTTTACGAAATCACATTTGTTGTAACTTAATGCCTCCAAGGGTTGTCCAGGCTTTGTGCAGGATAGTGAATCGCAGTATCGTAGGACTGCACTGATTTGCTGATTCAAAAAGGGACATCCCATAAGTTATGTTCGAAATGTTAGAGAATAGCGACAACCGTGAGATTATCTTAAAAGGCTAGGTTAACTGGCGGCATAAATCTCAGAGAGGTCCAAACGTTTTTTTGGCTGCACTCCCAACACCCATGTTTTTGCCACATATGGCACAGTTATTCCCGGACTGAGATTTGTATTTCTAGTTAGGGCATTTTAATTATTCTAATATAAATTATTGTGCTATTTAGAAACCCCAGTCCAGGCAAAGTACCATGTGCCTATAGTAGTATGTTTAAACGATACAGTTCACCGAGCGCCATCGAACCAGGTTCCCTTAAAGCCTGTTTCTACCGAATTCACAAAACACTGGAATTGAACATAGAAATTAAACCACGACCTTGAAGTGCACGGTGCTTTTCGGTTGTTTATGTTCGTCCCATCACACTAACTGGTTCAATTACAGTGAAAAACCACCTAATCAAATCATTTAGTTAGGTCGGCTTCATAATCACCCGTTTGAGGTACACTGCTCCACTGTTCCTTCGGGCTTTTTTATCGAAGCCCGCTCTTTTCGAAGGTACGGGCTTTCAAACAAACAACTACAAATTTGTTTTGCATATTATACGCGGATATGGATGGAAGGAAAAAAATCAGGTTTTGATTACTTAGTCGAAAGAGAACTCTACACTAATTATATAAGGGTTTTTGTAGGAACATTGACTGTCTGATGGTAGTGTTAGGAAATTTGGTAATTTTCTATTTAGATTTCATCCTTTAAATGAAGTCAGTCTATGCTGAACAGCCTAGAAGGCACTGTACTGTTAGCGAATATACACTCATCTGCAAACTAATTTGGTTCTTTCGAGAGACTCACCTGGAACCCAGCTGAATCTCTCGTTTATGATGTTCTCAGGCAACTAAATGTACTGTACCAGGCCACCTCATGTTTCAGTCGCTACGATATTTGAAATATCCCGACACATGTATACCTTTGTAATGTTCTACTCATAAGGTTGCTGAGAACATCATAAACGAGAGATTCAGCTGGGTTCCAGGTGAGTCTCTCGA